GATGAAAAGGAGCACTTGGTCGAGTTCCTCAGGAAGAATGCGGACGTCTTTGCATGGTCCCACAAGGACATGCCTGGGATCGACCACGCCCAAAACGCCGCCACGGTGAAGAGGTCGATAAACTACTCAAAGCCAGCGTCATCCACGAAGTTTAATACCCAGACTGGTTGTCCAATGTGGTCCTGGTAAAAAAAGCCAACGGGAAGTGGCAAATGTGCGTTGACTTCACCAACTTGAACAAGGTATGTTCTAAAGACAACTTCCATATGCCACGAATCGACCGATTAATTGACGCCACTACCGAACATGAGTTTCTAACCTTTATGGACGCGTACTCGAGATATAACCAGATCAAGATGCATCCCATGGATCAAGAACATACCTCGTTCATCACCGAACAACGGCTATTCTACTACAAGGTAATGTCGTTTAGATTGAAGAATGCTGGAGCAACTTATCAGAAGATGGTGACCAAGATGTTTGCCTCCCAAATCGGGAGGAACATGGAAGTCTATGTCGATAACATGCTTGTCAAAAAGCCGCACTGCCGAGCAGCACGAGGAGAACCTATCCGAGGCTTTCCAGGTCATGCGCAGTCATGACATGAAACTTAATCCGGCGAAATGTGCCTTCGGGGTGAGGTTGACTAAGTTCCTCGGTTTCATAGTGCACCAGCGAGGGATCGAGGCAAACCCCGAGAAAATCTGAGCCATCCTTGACATGATGTTACCAGCCAGCCTAAACCAACTCCAAAGTTTGAACAACAAGATCGCTGTCCTAAATAGGTTCGTCTCCAAGTTCGCCGATAAGTGCTTACCGTTTTTTAAGACCTTGAGAAAGAAAGGCAAGTTTGAGTGGACAGACGAGTGTGAGAAGGCATTTGAGCAATTGAAATAGTACTTGGCGTCATCCCTCCCCTGACGAAGCCGAATCTGGGGATGACCTGTATCTCTACTTTATAAAAAATGGAAATTTCATAAAAAAAATCAATTCTGGTGGCTTCAAAAAGAAAAATCTTTATTTGGTAACTTTATTTTTTTTAATTAAATATTGAAACGATGTTGAGATATTTTTATGATATTACATTTAAATTTGAATTTGAAATTCTTGAATTGTTTGAATGAAAAAATTCTATCATTATATTAGGATTATATTGTGATATTGTGTGAGGTTGAAAATATTATTTATTGCGGTTATTTATTAACGTTCATATGAATAGTTGAAATAAGTTTCTTATACATGCATATTATAAATTTGAATTCTATTTTTTTGAATTGTTTGTTGGATAGACTTTTACGTATGTTTAATACTTCCCTTATTGAATGGTTAGGTAATTAAAATGTTAATTTTTATTTTGATTTCCTAATAAGTTGATGTATGATAAATTTTTTTATACTTTTTTTCTTGGATTATTATTTGATAGTAGAAATTTATGTTGTTGGTTTGTGAAAGAAGTTTAATTGAGAAAATTATTTTGAAATTTCTTTCCTGATATTTGTTAATTCATTGTTAAAAATGATTTTCATTAAATCTGTCTTGATATCATATTGGTTGAGTTTCACATCCACATAAGTATTTTTAGTTTGAAAATTACTTTTTTCGTTATAAATTCCTTGAAAGAAATTATTTTTGAGTTTTCATAAATATGTTTAAAGATTGAAAGTTTACATCTTCGTTCTTGTTCATATGTTTTGATGATTAATTTTAAAATTGTCATGAGTGTTGATATTGCTAATTAATTCCTTTGACCGGGGCAGTGTTTGAAAATTTTTAATATTTATTGAATCCCTATCCATTGAGTATTTGGTTTTACTTTTGTTTTAAATGAAATATATTTTGATTGTAATCTTTATCGACATACTTTTTATTCAAACTTTTGGTATAATATATCTGGCACGAAATTATCATATCCTTGTTTGCAATAAATTTTGATATTGTACCTAAATTATTTAAATTTGATTATATTTGGGTCAATATGTAGTTGCTTGCAATAATAATTTTGATATTGTGATTGATGTATCTTTAATGCTATTCAATATTATGCCTATTTTTTAAATTGATTCTTATCAATTGGTGTACGTTGTTAAAGTACTTATTTCTTTTATGAATCATGTATTTTTATTTATGACATTGATTCTTTGATTACCACTTATTTATTAATAGCAATCTCTTTAAAATGGTAAAAGTTGAGAAGATTGACTTGTGATATTTATTCTTAATTATGACTTATTTGCTTTGCTAGTGATATTATTATTTTTTGAAAAAATAGGAATTGGTAACGTGTTAAACTTGATCTAAAAAAACCAATAAAAAATAAACAAAAAAAATTAAGATAAAGATTTTAAATCATAGTCTAATAAACAAACCATATATAAAACAATAACATAAGCGGTTAAGGTCAGCTTAACTATAAGTTAAGTCATATATGTCCAACAAAAAATTAATCGAAACTCTGTCCCTCATGTTATACTAAAATAATAATAATATTATAAGTGAAATGATAAAAGTAAAAAGAAAAAAAATTGCACTAAATCTTCTTATAAGTTCACTTGATATGGTTTGAATTCCTCCCTTTTAAGGGCATGTTTGTGAATATTTTTTGGGTGAAGTATAATCACTTTTACTAATGCCAAAATCACTTCCATGTCAAAGAAGACATGTTTTACAATGATTTTAAATGATTTTGAAAAAATCCACAATCACTTTAACTCAATTCTCAATTAATCACTAAGGTGGTTCTCCAGGTGATTTTTGGTAAAAACAAAATAAAAAGAAAAAAATTAATAATTGAAAATTAGTTTTTAAGTTTCAAATTTGTCTTTCTATTTCACCCTTATTTTTACCAATAAAATTTTTGAGAATTTTTTTCCTTTCTAAAATTCGGTCAATTCTAAAAGTAATATAGTTTTAAAAACAAATTAAAAAATAATGTAGATTTAAAAGTAATAACAAATTAAATATAATTTAAATAAAAAATTTAAAAAAGTAAGTTACGCATCCAAACTAAACTATTGACAAAAATAAATTATAGTGAAAGTTAAAAATAGCATACAATGGACGTGATTTAGGTGTCATCTTATATACGTTGTATGAGATTTCAATGAAAGTGGCCTGGATTTCAGTTAAAAAAATTAGGGATTAGTATTATGGACTATTTAAAGATCCTAATTACATAATGGAATGTATGTAATTTACACTTTTGTCATAAAATAAACTTTTTAAGATGGTACCCATCACCTAAATTACAAAACTATCTTTTGTATATACACATTAATATTAATTGATTTTTAAATTCCAGATAGTTATATTTTGAATCTCATGATATTTGCTAATGATACTTTCTAAAAGAAGCTAAAATACCAAAACATCCAAAGATATCCCCAAATCCCTCAAATTCGAAAACCTCCAAAAATATCCCCAAATTCGAAAACCCCCAAATTCGAAAATAGTGACGGTTCGTGCTTCTTCTCCGTTCGCCGGGATTATTCTTCCGACTGCTTGCGCCTTCTTCGACGATTCACCTCGATTTCGTCTGCTTCGTCTGTCTCAGAGGCTTCGTATCCGTCGTAGAGTTGTCTGTTCCCGTCGTTGAGCAGTCTGTTTCCGCTACCATCGTTCCGTTTCTGTCCGCTCCTTCGTCTTCGGTCCCCACCTCCGTTTTTCTCCGTCGGTCTCCATTTATCCCAATAAAAAAGATTGCATTCCAATATATCCTAATATATCCTAATATTGAAAACCTTGTTTTTTTTTATATATTCCAATATATCCTAATGTTCATTCCATACCCAAGTAGTATCCAATAGTTGTATATATAGGGTTATATGGGAATATATGTGAGTTTGATCTTAGCATATAAAGCACCATAACAAATTTGTGCATTTCCCTTTTTGTGTGTAGCAATATATGAGGATATATCTTATAATGGTTGCCTTACACTCTTTTATCTTTTTATGTATAGGGATATATTGGGATATATGGGATATATGGGGAAAAGTGCTTGAACGGAGAGGAACCTGTTAATCAAATCTGAACTGCGTTCGATGGTGGCTTCCAACAACCGGTGGGAATTTACACACGAAGAGAGATGAAATTGGATATTTTTTTTCCATTAATAATAATGGTAAATCATGGGAATAAATCTTTTTTGGAGGAGTGAATCAAGGCATTAATGTTGAAATTTTGTATGGGGCCCGATGATTAAAGGAATATGATTACAATTTAGGGATTCAAATCTTTTAAATTTTCAAAAAAAAAGAAAAAAAAACTATAATAAAAGTAAATGTAATAAATAAAGGTAAAATGATATTATAAAAAAAATCCTACCTACAGAAATCTATGAAAATTTTAGACATTGCTCAGATTAAGTTTAAAAAACAGACATTATCTCAAAACATTATATAGCAAGTTATTTCCTGACAAAAAATAAATTGGCCCATTGGTTATTTCCTCACCTGATCCTTCGCCCTTGCTTCAGTGTCATAATATCAAATCTCATTTTCAGCATTTATTTATTTTTCCTTTTAAATATATTTAGTTCATTTTTTATTTTTTATTCCTTATTTTTAAATATATTTTTATTTATTTTCCTTTTTAAATATATTTAGTTTATTTTTATTTTTTTAAATATATATTTTTTGTTAGTTTTCCCTTTACTTAGTTTATTTTTTATTGCTATTTTTTTCTCTTTCAAATATATTTTTTTATTTATTTTCCTTTTAAAATATATTTAGTTTAGTTTTCTTTTCTAAATCTATTTTTATGTTGAGTCTCAACTTCCATCTATTTTGATTTGTTTAATATATTTTTCATCCTATTTTGATTTGCCTAATTAAATTTATATACATATTTTTTAAATATCTTAAATCATATTTTTCATATAAAAAAGTATAAGTAAGAATATAGCAATACAATAAATTCAACAAATTTAAAATAAGAATACTTATTAAAATTCCTGGCAACGACCAGATCTAGAAGATTCTAATTGAAATTTAAAATAAAGAAATTGAAATAAAAAAAAGACTTGATTGAAATTGAAACATTTTTATAATAAAGAAATTGAAATAAAATAAAATTTAAAAGAGAGGCAGGAACCTGGCGCCTCAAAAACACGAGGCATTAGCCAACCACTGCACCAACATTTGAACGATGAGATAATGGGAAAATCGCAGTCAATTCATGCGATTTCATAAAGGCACAGTCAATTCGTAGCTGCGACTTTGTAAAACGGCATTTTTACTAAAATCGCATCCAGTGCTGCGTTTTATCTCATGGTCGGAATTTCACTAATCTATTTTTTTAAAATAATTTCTAACCTATATGTAATTATTTTTTGAAATAACATTATTTATAAAAAAATCCTCTTAAATTTGTATCTCTCTGACTTATCTATTTTTAATTTTGTTTCTTCTCTCCATTATCGTAATCTCTCTAAATTTTTAGTCCCCACTCTTTCGAAGTTTATTGCTCCTTTTAAAATTTCTCTCATTCATTCAAATATTGAGATTGATTATCTACTTAGATGTATCTGTTTCTTTTTTCATCATTACTTGTCATTAATCATTCAAAATAATTTTTTATTATATGAAAATATATGTTGCTAATTTGTTGATTCTAGATCATTTTTAAATCACTTTCAATTATATTAAAATAACTTGAAAGTGTGAAAGCAAACATTAAAATAAATATGTAAAACTCACTTTAACAAAATCACTTCTCATTCGCTAAAATCACCCATTCTAAAATATTCTCAAATATGTCCTAAATAATTTAGCTTTTTACTAGCTCCAATTACCAATAATAATTTAAAAGCCTCAAAATTCTTACTAGTTGCTCACAACTATCCTGCTAATTCTCCTCAATAATCCTCCTAATTTTTCCATTATAAAAATAAAATTTATAATCACATTACCATGGCAGGTTTCCAAACAAGTTAATAAATAACTTGGATAATCACGTCATTTCCTTTCACTCAGCAATTTTTCCACTCTGACCATCTAAACCATATCGATTAAACCTGAGTAAGAGAAGAATGAAATTTTATTTTATTTTATGCAAATGAGGTAATATTATTTTGGCGAAACTATATTTTCTTCGACGTCAAGTTTAACGACCGTTTAACAATAGCAAATCATACATACATTACAATTTACAAACTCAGAGGTGACAATGAATGAGTAGAGCATATGCGAGAGTCCTGGTTAAGGTTATGGCTTACCTAATTACCGAGGCGATGGAGGAGAGATTTATGCTATAAAGATGCAGTTTGGATGGTACCCGAACTAGTTTGTCGTGTTGCGAGCACCCTAGATCTCGCATCACGAACCAAATTTTGAAAATCTTGCTTCCATGACCATGAGGGCTGATTAAGGGCACGTATTGAGTTCAGGCAGACTAGGAGAGTGCCACCCTCGTGAAGAAGAACCTGTATGTTTAAGAAGAGAGTTCATGAAATGACATCACCTGTTAAAATCAGAAGCAACTGTGCAGATGGAGAAGGAAGTAGATAAAAGGTTTTAGTAAAAAGGAGATTCCTTAGGGCTCGTTTGTTAAGGCCCGTTTGGTAACGTTTCTGTTTCTTTATTTTTAATAAAGAAAAATGAATTGCATAACATCCATGAATTCAAGTATGATCAAACAATCTTTCTATTTATGTTTTGGAACAAATGGGAAATGAGAACAAGAAAGAAAAAATTTGTCTATGTTGTTTCCAAAATTTCTATACAATTTTGAGAATGTTCCCCAAAAATAAGAAACAAGAAACATACTAATTGCAAAATGCTTAGATTTCTTAAGAAAATTGGAAACGAGAAACAAAAAATAAGAACGTCACTAAACGAGCCCTATCGTTTCTGTTTCTTGTTTCTAATTTTTTCGAAACATATTCTCAAAATTGTATAGAAGTTTTGGAAACAACAAAAACAAGTTTCTTGTTTCTTGTTTCCATTTCCATTTCCAATTTGTTCCAATGTAAATAGAAATCTTGTTTTGGATGTTTAAGACCATGCAATTCTATTTTTCTTTATTAAAAATGACGAAACAAAAATAAAAAAAGGAACATTACCAAACGGGCCTTTAATAAGCTAATAAGGTTGAAAATAATGGTAAAACTTAAAAGGGCACATGGTTTCTAAATTTTGATACAATAGAGTTGTTTGAAGTTATTTTTAAAACACGTGGATAAGATCTGCATAATTCACAAGCTACAAGGAATGATTTACAATCATGTTTATGAAACAAGAGGCAATTGCTTACACTCCCAGAAAACTTATCAATTTTAGGTCAATCTACACCTACAAAATCCATATTGTATAATTTAGGTCTTGTTTAAAAATGATTTTATTTTTTATTTTCTACTTTTAAAAATTTAGCTTATAAACACTACTTCTACCTATATATTTATTTGCTTCGTGATCCCCATTTTAGAAACACTTTCAAAATCTAAGTCAAATACTAAATCCTGAAAAAGGTAGGTTTTAGAAAATGAGATTGTGATCAAATGACGATTCATAACGGTTAACCAGTTAACTTCAAAAAATGAATCAGGAAACATTTAACATCATACCGTTAACCACAAGGGAAGAAACCCCAAGACGGATGGGAGAGAGGCAAGAAGGATAGATGACAAGGCAAGGGTCACATTTTGCTTGACCTGAAAGGAGATTTACCCCAACAAATTAAAATAATGAAACGGGGAAAGAGATGAAATATTGTGACTACAAGGGGATGGTAATCGAGATACCAGTGAAGTTGTCTGGCGAGATTTGGCAATGCAGAACGGTACACAGGAAATATTGTCCTGAAGAAGCAGGACATCTGCAACGGCTGTAGCAGTAGCGCTAGCACGACGAGCAAGAACTATTCCCACAGTCGCTGCAGCAAGTGCAGGAGCATCATTTATACCTTCACCAACCATGATGAGACCGCCCCCTGGAATAAAATGAGATATAGAGTGCTCATTATTTTAGAACTCCAAAGACAGTTGTACCACCGATACTATAGAACAGAACCTGTACGAGGTCGTTATAGAGCGCTCATTATTCGACCCATAGAAAAGGGATAGTGATGGTCAATCAATCAATCATTTAGCAGAACATAAAAGTGGAAGAGAAGTTCATTCCACAAAGACCAGTAATAGAATTGCTCTTCCAACGACCAATAGGATATAACTGCGACATTGAGATCCTATAGAAATATATCCAATCAACATGAACAACCATTTAACATTACTTACCATCCTGATATTCAGTGCAGATAACGGGATGGTAAATAAGGTTACATGGTTGATATTCAGAGCAGAAATTATAGAAGAGATTTTTAATGCTGTATAATATACTGATGGAATCCGAAAAACTAAAAATATATTGAAATATAAAAAATATACGAGCTTATAATGTAACTTAAGTATTCAAGGTACTTTGAACCTCCCTTGAAATATCACTCAAGCTTAAACCAACTAAATCAATGCCTACTCCAATCCTTCTCACTCACTTTACTTATAACAAAACCCCCCAACAACTTCCCTAACTAATTACTAATATAACCTTAATACACTAACAATATCCCCAATTCTATCCTAATAGCTATCCTATCATATACTCTCAAGATTTGTAACACCAGTATAAAAAACTAGCTCATATAGTAAAATGTAGTTATTGGCACATTAACCTAATAGTAGATTTGTAACACTGAGTATAAAAAACTAGCTCATATGGTAAAATGTAGTTATTGGCACATTAACCTAATAGTACATGTGGCGTGCAAATGCGTGGCAACAGGTTACAACAGTAATTCAAATCTGAAGTTACAGTTTGCTACACGCTAAGAAAGATCTTACACTGGCCTGGAAATATAAATTCATGCAATTTATTGATTGTCAAATTGTTATTGAACATTACAGAAGAAAATCTGTCATCTACTGGCCAGGTTTCAGACTTCACAATCTGATTTGAAACAAATGGATAAATAAAAATCTCATCAAGAATCAACTTGTGTAAATTGATATGAATCAAAGAAGATTTATAAGGGAGCATTTTTACCTCAACAAGAAACTAAGATGTGATAGGAATTAAGAAGCATTGGCAGCTATGATGAAATAAAGTATATACAAGCAGACAACATTAAGTGACGAGTTGAAAAGCTCACCCATCTCCCTTGAGATTTCCTTTACGTGAGCAAGTTTGTCCTCGGGCTTAAGACTGTAGTAAACTTCATTTATGCCCACAGCGTTCGCAACTTTCCATGCACTTGAGTCATGATCACCTGTTAACATCATAACACGGACTTTTGCATGATCTTGTAATTCTGATATTGCATTTAACATTCCAGGCCGAGGCTGATCCTCAAGGTGAATCAGTGTTACCTGCATTGATCCAGCAGAAAACTCAACATACTATTCTTGATTTACATCCCTAAGACAATAATAGAAGTGCAAAATATGTTCTCGAAACATGACGGACCTGCTGATTAAGAGTCTTGTTAAGGATAATCAAATAATAATATGGAAAAGAAGAATCACTCAATCTAGCTTTATGAGGTCAGTTGCACATTGTTGCTGTCAAGATGAAATTTTCAAATTGTGCTCAAGTTAAAATTCACTGCACGAGAAAAGATATGGGCATAAAGTTAATGTGCCAAAGGAACTACCCATCCATCTGAGAGTTATTTTTCAGGGACTGCTAAACAGGCTAAAGCATGAAAGGAAACAAGCATATTGATAGCTATATCATAAAATATCTCTAAAAATTAGAGATTTTCAACAACGTCCGTAAACTTTATGCAAATATGATTTGTTTCTTAAAGTATCCCCCCACCACCCCCCAACTCTCCAGCAAATTCCAGAGGATCATGTAAATTTCTCACCTTTTGATCAACTGAAAGAGCAGCATGCACAAATTCACTTCCATATGATGATGCTCTAACAGCTTCCTTGATTTTCCTTGATTCATTTTCGGATTTGCAAAAGGAAGTGATGAAATCCACAGAACCAAGGGATGCTTTCCGCAGTTTACCTCCAATTCCTGACTATAAGATAGAGATGAATGAAAATACTCTTCCGCTATTTAAAATCAATTATTGAACTCTGGATTTAAAAAAAGAACAAATTTCCAAAACAAGTAAAAAGAAAGTGTTAATAAAAAAGTCTATGTCATGATGCAGGTGTTACAAATTACAGAGATTCCCATTCAAAATACCAAGACTTACATGGAGCACCTGGAAAAGAAGAAATAGTTATCTTCAATTGGTGAATAATTATAGATTCCATATATGAAGGTTTTTACTTCTGATCTCACGAAATAATTTAACTTGGGGCAGACAATATTATTTAACATGTGGTTCATTCATGTGACATTTAGTGGAGAGTTAGATGAATATTCAGGAAGTAATATAAGTTTCTTTTAGTCTCCAACAGATATCTAATTGGTTGCTTTCATTCCCATGTGCGGAAATAACTCTAGAATCTTATGTGTTCACGTGTAGAGATTTGTACTTAGTCTCATGCTAACAGTCTCAAGTCAGCATTTCCAAAATCTTGTGAATTTTAAAGGGTCAAGTACGAAATATCCAACTTTAATCCAAGCGGCTCTGGAATGAATAGAACATCTAAAGTGATGCTAATTCTTGCAATTTAAGCAAACTCCCCTTTAGAAAGAAAGACATCAAAGTGCATGATGAAATTTTGGGTCAAATAAATAAACATCTGGAGTTGCATTTTTTAAGAACTAACGACTACGGTACTTGGATGCTGCTTGAATGTACTTTTCTGTTTTCAGATAATAGTGGAATGAGAAACCCTGTAGCCTGTGGCGTACAAGTGACCCGGGGTAGTTTATCGCAGAAATCCACAGAGGAAGGACCCGAAGGAATTCTACTGTTTAAGAGGAAACCGAAGATCACTAAAACATCCAGCAATATGAAGCAAAAACTACCTTAATGCCATGCAGAGTTGCAATGAGACCTCTTCCAGGAAAATACTCAAAACTTTCAACGGAAATAGAAGGAAGGTCTTTCCCCGCACTATGATCCACTACAGCTCTACAACCAAAAACAGAAAAAGCTATAACTACTTAGAATTAGAAAATGAATATTCCAGATAAATTTATATGTATCGTACGTACATACATATATAGATGTATTCTTTCATGCATACATATGTATGTATACATATTTGAAGAGAGACGGGGATTTCAAGACAGATATGTGAAGCAAATAATCCAGAAAAAGTTATCCAACATATTTGAGACATTGGCATGAGTTACTTGGAATACACTAACAGCATAATTCAGGGGAAAGAAAAGATGACACAATTAACCAGCCTTATTCCAACACACTGGGAAAAAATGAATGAAACTGAAGGCTAATGATACGAAAGGACTATTATCTAGCAGTAATTGAAAAACCTAATTATTACTTCGAAAGAGATTAAATTAGTTACTCCTTATTCTCACTAACAAAGATAATGATGATTCAGGTGTTCCAATATAAGAAACTACAGGTGTAAGGAAGAGTTTGCTTACATGGTATAATACTCCAAAAAAGAATTAAGAAGGTATTTATGTCCAGGTATGTTATCCTAAACATATTATTCCTCCGTCATAATTCTCAAGCATGTGAAATGATATTTTTATACTCAACCATAAAAGCAATCTTAGGATTGATTCACAAGAGTCTGACGCCGTGAAAGAATCTTCTGGACCATGGATATACTAGATGCTGGATGAGAATACTCAGCTTTAAATATTGATCTTCAAAGCATGGAGTGAAAGTTGAACTATTTTATTTTGTAGCAAAATCACTAAATTGATTATGCATCAAATGTAGGGAAGGACAGAAACAGGACACAAGTGTAAAGAAGCCGAAGTAAACGGTGTAACAAATAGTTACAATTCCCCCTCCCCCACCAAGCTTTCAGGTTGGCAAATAGCCTCACCAAGTTTTCAGTCAAATATAGTAGTAGATAAACTATATGGCACCTGAAATAAAATCCATAAGAGGTACAATATGCCAGGTAGACAATTCTTTTAAACAACTACCTTCCAATTGGGTGAGTAGTACCCTTTTCCATGGCAGCTGCCACTGCAAGGGCTTCTTTTTCACAGCTGGGTATGCAGCAGGAAGCTAGATGTGTTTTTTCTCCTCCAACCTTGTGCCCAAAAATGGGTTCTATGGCTTTAAACACAAGTCCCCCGGTGGTCAATGTCCCAGTTTTATCGAATGCAACAGTGTGGCAAGAAGCCATAGCATCAAGCACATGTCCACCTTTCAGAAGTATTCCCTGTCAATAGGGTAAATTCAATGAGTTGGATAAGTATAATATTCATAAAAGTGAGTTTCTTAGCTGGTTTCAGTGACAGTGAAATGAAGCAGTTGATACATATGCCTTAGCCAACTTCTGGTGCTGATACCAGAAACTTATTACATAATTATATCACCATAGTACCTTCCTTGCACAGGAACTTATTGCAATAGCGTATGCCAATGGAGCTGCAGCCAGTGCACATGGTGATGCGGCTACCATGAGCCCAAGTGCTCTATAAACAGATCCTCTGAAACCTAGAGATTATGTGGTCATCAGAAAAGAGAGAGAGAGAGAGAGAGGCAACAAAAATTTGCTGTACATTCAAGCAATATCCAACACTTCGCACAAAGATTTCTTTTGTAATTACAGCCTATCAATGATAATTAGAAATTGGAAGGTTTCCCTTTGAATCTAGTTGCTGTTTTCA